CATTTGTCTATCACCATGATCTTGATACCAGGACTGTTCCACCATTTTTCTACCACCATGATTGTGGTACCAGGACTGTTCCACTATTTGTCTATGACCATGATCTTGATACCAGGACTCTTCCACCATTTGTCTTATCACCATGATCATGATACCAGGACTGTTCCACCATTTGTCTATCACCATGATCGTGGTACCAGGACTGTTCACCATTTGTCTATCACCATGATCTTGATACCAGGACTGTTCCACCATTTGTCTACCACCATTACTGTGATACCAGGACTGTTAAACCATTTATCTATCACCATGATCGTGATACCAGGACTGTTCCACCATTTGTCTACCACCATGATCGTGGTACCAGGACTGTTCCACCATTTGTGTTATCACCATGATTGTGATACAAGGACTGTTCCACCATTTGTCTACCACCATGATCATGGTAACAGGACTGTTCCACCCTTTGTCTATGACCATGATCTTGATACCAGGACTGTTCCACCATTTGTCTATCGCCATGATCGTGGTACCAGGACTGTTCCACCATTTGTCTTATCACCATGATCGTGATACCAGGACTGTTCCACCATTTGTCTACCACCATGACTGTGATACCAGGACTGTTCCACCATTTGCCTATCACCATGATCGTGGTACCAGGACTGTTCCACCATTTGTCTATCACCATGATCATGGTATCAGTACTTTTCCACTATTTTTCTATCACCATGATCGTGATACCAGGACTGTTCCACCATTTGCCTACCACCATGATCGTGGTACCAGGACTGTTCCACCATTTGTCTGTCATCATGATCATGATGCCAGGACTGTTCCACCATTTATCTATCACCATGATTGTGATACCAGATCTGTACCTTTCAGAGACACCTTATTGCTACTGAAGTAATTGCAAAAATCCTGTTTAAAAGTATTAATATCTAGTGATCAAATTATCATTTCCTAAACATTTTATTCATTAATCATCACTGGCAGTGTCAATTATTATATTTATATCTCTACACTAGAAATTTTCAATTTTTACCGTATCTTTGCTTTTCCTAGTTTCTGTTGTTGGAAAAACAATTCCCGGCCTGCATTTTCATTTTTCCCAAAGTTAATTTTAATCTATACTATTAAAAGTTTTTCTCTTAAGATAAGACTGTCAGCACATAAGGCCACAGCAAAACAGAGCATTCACTGATTTTGAAGCCTTTATTAATTTCTGGGCTGACAAGAGACGTAGTTTACTTATTTAGCTGCTAATATCTATTTAAGTGAGTAGCCAGGGAAATGTCTAACAGGCTGATGATATGCAAAGACCAGGCCGTTCTCTTTGAGTATTTTAAACTATTTCAAAAGAGAGGAGAATATGTAGCTTCCACATATG